TGGCACAACAAAACTAGGTGAAAATTAGCCCTGAACTAATGGTCAGAAAGCTTCTGAACCATGCAGAGCACTGAGGCATGGAACAGTTTTCCAGGGTCATGAGAGCTAACTCTTAAAACATTTCGAAAAACAAGCTGGTTGGATTGCCATGCTCTAGCTGGTGACCTTACAGAAATCTGCAGATAAATGTAACTTTGTTAGCAGCAATCTAACTCAGCTTTTTACAGCTCACGTGTCTGAGAACAAAATAGTTTTATTCAAAAAAGAGTTCTTCAGCACTATGCAGATCTTTGAGTGTTGGTATTTGTTGATGTTTTGGGTTGAGTGGTGAGAAAACTTGATCCCAGAAAAGCAGCTGAGAGTTTTACTGCTGGTTCCAGTGTGGCAAGCATTTCACCTGGCCATCGCATCCTGAGAGAGGCTGCCCCTCTTTTCTGCCTGCACTGGCTCTCTGAATAGCAGGACCACAAGGGAAGACATAGGGCTGGATAAAGAGAAAATGCCAATCTCATTTAGATGGGTTCTGGGTTCTAGCAAAATTATTGCCTGAAAAAAACAGGTAAGAAGTACACATGACAATTTCTTACATATTTTTACCCATATATTTGAAAGCTTAGATTTATACTTTTTTAATTGATTTAAAAAATATGTTTTCACTATTTGGGGAATAATTATATATAGACAAAGATCAAGTGTCAGTGCCTTTACCTGGAAAAGCTACAGGTGCTACAAAAATACTTCAAAAGCTTCCCGCTAAACAATTCCTGAGTTCTTTACACTGAACATACTGAGCCCCAGGCCCTTCCATATCCACCTAATTCTGTCTTTCCAAGTGGATTTCTCCCAGCACGTGGGAGTGGGATCTGGGGGCAGACTTGCTGGATTTGAGAGCTGCCTGCAGACAAGTACACGTCTTTCCCTCCCTTGCGTATCACCCTTTTGCTGCTCAGCTCTCCCCTCGTCTCCTACTTTCCATCAGGCCCTCCCCACTTGTGACTGAGGCTTTTTTTTTCCTGTGCAGCCTTCTTGTTGCAGATCAGACAGCCACACAGGAGAGCTTATAGGCTGCACTGTTGCAAAAAGCCAATTTCATCATACACAAGGATAGATACAAATAGCAAGAGAAGCCTGTGGATTTTCAGCGTTCCCTTTCACAACATGATCTAATTTATCTGAGTTCAGGTTCCATCTGTTTTGCTGTTTTCCTGTAATAATGGCTATTGTGATCCTTTTGGAAGCTTCTTTAAATTCCCAACATATTTCTTCCCTATTTCTGCAAGTACAGACGTTGATTTATAAGTTATTCTTTCAGCAGTGAGCAGTACATGCTAGGCATCACAATCATACAAATAAATACTCACAATGAGCATCTCGTGGTCCAAGAACAGACTGTGTTTTCTGCACACACTGTGGATGAAGGACGGGTGAAGTGCTGGGAACTGCCCAGAGCAAAACCATGCTGAAGACCCCACCGTACACCCCAGTGCTGTTGGGGAGCCACAGGGGCCAGTGCCCCTCCTCACCTTTCCGGGGGCACACAACAGCCCAGGCACTGGATTTAGCCACTTGCCTCCATTCCCAGCCTCAGGGCCTGCAGGTACTTCACATGCCACAAACAGGGCAGCCCACCCAGTTACTGGCATAACGCAGGAGAGACGAGTCACAAATCAGACTTGTTCCTACACACCACATGGGTATAAACCCAAGCAAAACCATGAACCACAGTACATAAACAAATTGCTTAGCTCCACACAGTAACATCCTATGATGTTTAAAAGGGGCACCTTCATCCTTGCAGTGACACCTAACCACTTCTAAAGGAAGAAAAAAACAAAACAACCACCAGTAAGAAAGCCAACTGTTTCACATCATAGAGCAGCATGAACGAAGCATATTAGGCCAGGAAATTATTTTTACTACCAACTAAAAGCACTTTAATAATTTAGGCATGTAGGGTATACCTGTATAAAGGGAATTTGCCTTTTATATTTCACTTTCATGAAGATTTGGTAAGGAGCATGGTAGGTCCAGGGCTGGGCAGCAGACTGTATAGCAAATACCAGATTGAATCATAGGTATTAAAAACAACTTATTCCTCCCCTCCCAAAGTTAACTGGTAACATTGTGTGTTACATTTAGGTTAGCTTTTTTGGAAAGGTATCAGTATTACATTGTTATCAGTAGATATTACAATTCTGGAACAATATTTTGCATTTGAACACTTCCACAGTGAGTCCTAGCAGATCAATAATAATTTGAATATTTTAACTTTTTTTTTTTTTTTCCCCTCTGGAACAGCGTATGAATTGTGTGTTTGTTTAATATGCAGCCTCTGAGGAGACCATTAACTCAACCATCCTTGCTGCAATTAGCCTTTGTCTTCAGTTTCAAGATTTTCTATTTGAAATAGAAGGAGGTAGTAAACTTACCCAGTTAAAGGCCAGTCCCAGCCAAGGTAAATATTTACAAGAAGAGCAGATTACAGGCAAAACCATCTTTCTTTGCCATGCTGTCCACATCCCAAACCACATTTCTTATGATCCCCTATAACCTTCCTCTTCCCTAGGTTACCGTGCTGGAGACACCCCTCAGTTCACCAGTTTGCTGAAGGTCACACAGGGCTTGCCACCTCTGTCTGTGATGGGCTGGAAACATCAACTCTCAACTTTTTAAGCACTGACTTCATTTTTATTTTTTACTTTAAGCAAAAGCACATGAATTACCATTGGTAATCCTCTTTAAAACTTATCAGTATGGTAACTCAACTTGATAAACAAGTAGCTTTTACTGCATCAAGTTGTATCAGCCTATTGAAACTACTTAAATAAACACAGCAAACATCCAGCTCTGGGTTGCTTTAATTGTGCTCATTACTCCCAGTGATGACTTTAAAAGAATCACCTGAAGTCTCAGAGGCCTAATTGTGAATCACCTTCCTGGGCATCAGGTGATTCAGGGATCATCCCCCAGAAAGTGTTAACCACTTACAGGTGGTTTATCAGGACCTCTCCTGATACCTTCATTAAGGTGGTGGATTTGGAGGCCCCAATGAGCCCTGAGGCTTATGCTACATGTTCTGTTTCACTACCTGTATTCCTGAAGCAACAGGAAACATCACAGTGCACACAATCCAATCACATAATTTTGATTTATTGTGGGCATCTGAATGTTAAATTATTAAGGTAGCAGTGCTAAGGCTTATCTATGCCCCTGAATACAAATTTCCCAGTACCCAGAGTGGCACCAGGCTTACATCTGCTGTGGGCATTTTTACTATTTCTTGTCCTGTTAATTGCAGAGCAGAACATGTTTCACTGTATATCCCTCTGATTCATAGTCCTTTTTAAATTATTATTATTTGTTTTGTTTTGTTTTGTTTTGTTTTTTACTTACCAAAGTTTCACTCTGTCATCACTGAAAAGAAAGGGGAAAAAAAAATCAGGTTCATTTATATATAATGGACTTCAGGCTGTCAGGTAAATACACCCTCCAAACTACCTTGTATTCCCCAGCTGAGCTCCAGAGAAGTCAGTGAAATGTAGCAAAGTGCACTGCATGGGTAGGATAAAAGAAACCAGGAGAGAGGTTATTTCAGTGCTATAGCTTTCTGCACAAAAGGATTTAAGAGACTCTCCCAGGAAACAGCCCTTTTCATCCACCTCTCAGCAAGCAGAGAGAACAGCCCCGATGCAGTTTCCTTCCTCCTTTCCCTTGCACGCTCACCTGTGCGGGCAGCAGTGACACAACCAACCTGCTTTAAGAAAAGCCCAGTTACTCGCTGCTCTCCAGGTCCAGACGGGCCAGGGGAGGGCCGTCACTAAGACCTGCTATTGACTTAGCACAGGAAAACACAGCAGCCTGACCCTTCATCATCACTCGAGAAACCTCCGGTATCTCAGGATCTCAAGCAATAACCAAGCAGCACCCATGGTACCAGGCAGCAGCTGTTCTACAAAAGCATTGTTTTCAGAGCGCTGTGTTTCACTTTTCCACTCGCTTTCCTGCCAGGCAGGCCCCGTGCTGGCAGTGGGTGCCACCACTTTCCCCAGGACAGCCAGGGCATGGGCTCCATCCCCACCCTAGGGCAGCCCCTTTTCTCCCTCCCTGTGCTGGCTCCAGCCCAGTGGGATCAGATTTTCCTTTGTTTAAGTTCATTTTTCTTTACCGCAGAGGTTTTCCAAGCGCACACGTGTGTGTTATTTATTGAGTTTCTCTGAACTTTTCCTCTCGCTTTCCCTCCTGTCAAGGCCCGGAGATTGTACAAAGCCTGAAAGTAAATAGAAAATGCCACGCTTGGGTTTTTTAGGTCACTGTAAACGACATGCTTAGCTGCTTCCAGAATGCATAAGCCACGGGATGTCGTCTCGGGTAAACAGGGGAGGATGAGGACTGGAAAGGTGTTTCTGGCTGTAGGTATGAATAAATCAGGGTCACGCAGAGGAAGTGTATGTATTCAAAAAGCATTTTTTTTTTTTTATCTCAGAGCCCTTTTCCCTTTCCCTCAAACCATCCATGTTCTGTTAACAAGGATCTTTTTATATCGCTGGGTTTTCACATTCTGCCAAGCAGCCTATCACAAGAAAGCCCAAATCTACTAAATAGTAAAATGAGGGATTATTTCCACTCATCTGTTGACAGACATTTCTCCAAATTGGATCAAATGATTAAAGGTATTAGAATGACGTCGTGCAGATCCAGATCAAATCATTTGAAACCTTGAGACTGTTTCTCCTTTGCTTGGAAGGAACCACCAGAAATAGTTGTAGGCGCTAATTGCCCATTATTCTTACTAATGAGAAATAGTTAATTTGGATCTTTGAGTATTTGCTTGCTTGAACCCACGCACGGGGAGCTCAAGATGGAGGGGCCGTGCAGCATCTCGCTTCAGGCTGTGCCGGTCGGAGCCTTTCTAAACGCCTGAATGGTTCTTCCTCGAATCGCTTACACGGAGAAGAGGGGTTCAGGCTGCGAAACCTTTCAACACCTCACATATTGCGAAGATGGCACTGCTGAAAGTCAAATTCAACCAGAAGAAACGGGTAAAACTAGCCCAGGGACTATGGCTCATGAACTGGTTTTCAGTGTTTGCTGGAATCATTGTTTTTAGCATGGGGTTGTTCCTCAAAATTGAGCTCCGCAAGCGAAGCGAAGTGATGGACAATTCTGAAAGCCATTTTGTGCCCAATTCTTTGATATTGATGGGTATATTATCCTGCGCCTTCAATGGTTTTGCTGGCAAAATTTGTTACGACTCTCTGGATCCCACTAAATTTGCCAAGTGGAAACCTTTGCTGAAACCCTACCTGGCACTATGTTTCCTCTTCAACATACTCATTTTCTTCGTCGCTCTGATTTGCTTTCTCATGCGGGGCTCTCTGGAGAGCACGCTGGCTCAGGGGCTGAAGAACGGCATGAAGTTCTACCGGGACACAGACACCCCCGGAAGATGCTTCATGAAGAAGACAATCGACATGCTCCAAATTGAGTTCAAATGCTGTGGAAACAATGGCTTCAAAGATTGGTTTGAAATTCAGTGGATCAGCAACAGATACCTGGACTTCAGCTCCAAGGAAGTGAAAGAGTAAGTGACTTAGTGGGGTTTGTATTGCATAGTATCATGATTTGGTCAGCATTAGGCTAAAGAAACATACATCACAACAGATGCTGACTGCAGGGTTTTCTTGTATAAAATGTTTTTCTTTTTTTTCTCTGCTCTTGCCTTAATAGAGATGCCAAATGCTCAGTGAGATTACCTTCTCCTCTGCCAGATTCCTCTAACATTATCCAGAATGTAAAATGCAAAGCAGTAAAATGCAATTCCCACTCTTACATGGTGCAATGTAAACAGACTTAAAAAATATCTTTTTTTTCTATCTTTTACCTCTTTATAAACTCATTACACCAAGCCACACATTCCTACTCCCAAAATCAAGCGTGTGGCTAACAGCAAAGTATCAGAACCTCACTGTACCTAAAGCAGATTTCCACAAGACCTAAGTTCCCATGCAGAGGCCACTGGGTTGACACCGCTTCTAAAACTCCAATTTAGATATTGGTAAGTAATGAATCTCATGAAAAGAAGCAGAAACAGAAATGCTTTACCAATAACTCGTGTGTTTTCAATCCTTAAGATTTAGAATTCATTCTTAAATTCACTCAGTGGATTGCTTCACCACTGTGTCAATTTGGGTCTGTCAGCATCCATCGATATTCCCAGCTTTATATACTGTCTCTTACAGTCAGGTGCACTGTATGTTCTTACACATGTGAAAAAAAAGTATAAAATCTATATTCATGCTTATTTTTTTAAACTTAATATGAAAACTCACTAGCTTCCTCTATGCTAACCAGAACTGATTGTTGACCAGAACCACCTTAATGGCTCTATTGTCGGTGTAAAGAGGTATTAATCTCAAAATGAGGTTAGGCGCAGTAAGCGCAAGTAAAAAATAAACATGAGAACAAATGAACTTTTGAAATGAAAAAATTAATGCTGAGCATAAATAGCCACAATCTTTTAATAAATTAAGCCGTAGAGGAAGAGATTTTTATTCTGATTTCTTTGGGAATGTCACTCGTTAGGTTGGTACTGGATGGTTACACAGAGAGGCTTGTAAACTAGGAGCCATCTGCTTTTTAAATATACTGAGTATGTTAAAAACGTCTGAAGTACTCTTGAAAAAAGCTTTGTGCATCTCGTAGGATCCCTGCTCGACTGTGTAAATGCTACTTCATTTGTGTGCCTCTCTGCATATTGTTTTGACTAGCTGGTGGTCTGCAGATTTTTACAATTCTCAACCAGGACGGTATAGTGAAAACTCTTACAGGGTTAACCTATCGCACTGCAGGGTTATAACAGATACATTCACTATTTAATAAGGGAGTATTTGTGCTGCGAAGGTATGCCTGTGGGTATAAATAACTACTTGAAAACATAATAAGTTCACCTTGCCAGCATTATATGGAGATTTGAGAGCTATAACTTAATCCATTAGCAGTGGAAGGACAAAGCACAGAGGGAAAACAAGGTTATATTGTCCTTAATAAACGATGTCTTATTTGGGACCGAGGCTCACAGCAATTTCTTTGTGCTGCTGAAACAGGAAATAGGGCATTAAAATTTCACAGATGGATGTTAATGAGTGAATTCAAGGTTTGAGCTACATGGTGAGGCACAAACTCTGCTCGTATTCCTGGTGGGATCTTCTGGCCCCTTTCAAGTCAGTTGCAAAGTTCTCCTTAATTCTAGGGAAGGTGGGAGTCCATCCTCAGCAATGCAATTTTTAGGTTATTTGTAGAATTAAGGTCTGGTCCAATCTCTCTGGATCTCGTGGAGCATTTACACATCAATGGGAATGAACCGCATTTGGTGTTTAGATGTATTTAGGCGCTGATTGCAAAGTGGAATTTTGCCTCACTGGGCTTTTGTCATCATCTCTCTCTATAACACAAATTTAAAATATTGTTATTAAAAGCTACAAGTAACTCTCAGTGTTTGTTTGTTTGTTTGTTTCCTTTCTAAATCACCAGGGCTCTCCATTCTGTACCATTTTCTAAGTAAAATGGTATTTATTAGAGTTACAGTGCTCTTATTATAGTTTTCTTCTGTAGCCCCAGTGGAGCTACTCATGTTCTAAATATCTCCTGTCTAAACATCTTGATAAGGCACCGGATTAAATGTATATTTATTGAGAGCAACCATGTTCTCAGATGAATTATAGTCGGGAAGCTCCTGCAAGGACTTCAGGAATTTCTGAACATCTTGTTGCTGAAACACATTTCATATTTTAAATACTGGATACCTTCCCAAGCCAATAATAAACGCATAGCCCCTTCCTGGAGCTATTGTCACTGAAGAGAAGATACTAGATTTGCTGGATCAATGATTTAGCAGGGTATAGTGGGTCCTAAGGCTGTTGTGAGTCAGGTCGCCTCCAGCAGTCCTTCCACCCTAGCTATGCAGTGATCAATCACTCTTTTCTGATTGTTTTTCATTAACTTTCTCGCTACTTTTCTTAAACATTACATTCTTTGAGGAACTCACTCAACAGGGCTTGTGTCCATAAAGAAGGCTTACTTATAGATTCAGAGCAACCTTGACATGGAGAAGGGTTTTAGGGAGGAAAACCACCCAGGAGGAATGTTACTCTCTAAAAAAGGGATGCAGAGAAGTTGCATGGCTAGGAAGCACTGTGGAAAATCTGTGTTTCATTTGCTTCCTTCCATGTTCAAGTTCACTGCAGTGTGTCCTTACATGTATGTGTGCATTGACACGTCCTTCTGCCCTTGCCTGCACGCAGTCGAATCAAAAGCAACGTGGATGGACGGTACCTGGTTGATGGCGTCCCCTTCAGCTGCTGCAACCCCAGCTCCCCGAGGCCCTGCATCCAGTACCAGGTCACCAACAACTCTGCTCACTACAGCTACGACTACCAGACGGAGGAGCTCAACCTCTGGGGCCGTGGCTGCCGGGAAGCCCTCCTGCACTACTACAGCAGCATGATGAGCTCCATGGGTGTCGTCGTCCTCCTCGTCTGGCTTTTCGAGGTAACCTGTTGGCACGGTGCCCTCTCTCCCTCACCCTGCTTTGCCAAAGCTTTAACTTGGCCAGACCTACATCTACTTCTGACCCAAAAATCTGTGTACAATACATCAATCACCTGCCACTGTTCTGTGGCAGGGAAATCCCACATAGCAGTGGACATCTTCAGCAGGCCTGGAAGGTCCCAGCCTGGAGATGGGAAGCCTGGTAGTGGGCTGAGTGTCCCCAGAGCAAGGGGAATAAAAGGACCAGCTTTGTGGCCTATGCAGAGAGCTCAGCTCTCCAGGTATATTATTTCTACCCAGGTTCCCACTAGTAGGGAATAGAAAGTACTTGGAGCAGTGCATCAGAAAGAGATGGCATCAATTTGTGGGACAGAAAGTGTAATTAAGTGTTTTATGCGGTGATAAAAATAACACAGGCAGAGTGTCCAGCTTCAGATCAGCATCTGATTTAAGGTTCTCCATCAGTTTCATTAATGGTTTTGGCCACAAACACACACACACACACACACACACAAAGGGTTTAGGCAAAGCAGACAGATTAATTTTATTTTAGTGTACTTCCAGAAGTTGTTGTATATGTGTAAACAGGTGAAAATACTGCCCAGTACAGATAAGGGCACCAAAACCTGAAGTTGCTAAAATACTGTCCATTAGATGTGAGAAAAACATGTCCCTCTGCCCTTAGGAGACAGCCAATTTTCTCGCTGTGGTGTTTAATCAGTGTTAATGCGAAAGGAGCGTGGGATGGAAGGGGCACGAGGGCTGGCGCGTGAGGGCTGGGAGGCAGAAGGGAAGGGAAGAGAAAGGAAGGGTTGCTGCAGGGTGCTGAGCAAAGCAAGCTGCTTCTGACACTGGAAACGGCTGCTGCCCAACTGCATCGCCTATCTGAAATGGTTTGGCTGTTTTTCTCAAAATTTGGAGAAACACAAATAGAAAAAGATGCACTGTATTTTGTTCCAAGCACAAGTCTACTCCTCCCTGGGAGGAACATGCTTTTTAAAAATAAAACAAACATTTACCCAAATAATCTACAAACTGAGTGGGAAAATAAAACCATCACAAAGTTACTCCATGTTGTGTTATTGTAAAAATAACTACTCTGCACACCTGGTAGATGTCCTACCTACTTGTAGCATCGTTATGCTGGTCAGAAAACAGAAGTTTTTGGCGCCTATCAGCACAGATTCAAGTGTTGAGTCCTTGAGGAGAGGGCAATTTCAGCTGTATGTGAAAATCAGAAGGGGATTCAAAAGCTCAGGGGAAAATTGCACAGAAATACTAAAGCCAGCTGTGAAAAATCATGAGTAGAAGCCATAACATAACTCTGCTGCCTTCTGGGAGAGCAGTGATAGTGATACATTAACATTAATAGCAGCGATAAAAATACAGCATTTTATTTCTAACTTTTCAAATTCCACGCTGGTAGTGTTTTCAGCCTGTGGAGTAATGAGAAATATGATCTTCTCTATTTCCTTCATCCATTTTGAAATGAAATGTGAGATTTTTTTTTTCAGGTAATCAGAGGACATTCAGGGCAAAGCTTTAAAAAAATCTCGCAAGCACTTGCAGTCCCAGGTTATATTAATTGGCCCTCCCGGATATTTATGACTCGCCTAATATACCACAGTAACAGGTCCAGTTCTTGGTCTCAAACTCTCTCTGCTTTTAGGGGAAACTTTGAAGGGAGGAAGCAAAGCAGGAAGCAGACAGCAATTTATCCTCCCTTGAAATACAACCACTTTCTTTAAGTTGCAGTCAGGGTAGAAAATGGTTTTCTACCGAGTAGCAGCGCAGCAGAGGCCTGGGCTCCTGGTGAAGTCAGGCTTCAGCCTCACCAGGGTGGAACACGGTGGGAGTGGGGCTGTGGGCTCTACATGCTGTGTTTCACTTTCAGCCAGCTTGCTGAGAAATTACGGGAAAAATGCAAACACAAAAGTGTGTCCTGTGTTACTTTGCCTCTGGGACTGGTGCAAGCCAGAGCTATTGGCACCTCCTGTGTGGCCAAAACCACTGCAGGGCCTGCGAGGGCTCTGCCAGCAGGGCCTGGGGCACTGAGGGCTCCTCACCACTGTTACCTCCAGGCACCAAGTCTCTGCGGCACTGCCTTGGGCTCTCAAGTGTCTGTACAAACCTGTTTTGAAGTGTTAGGACTTCTATTTGGAAAAACTAAATATATGCAGCCTGCTGTATTTTCTGCAAGTATATTATTATCTGCATACTGCTTTTACTAGCAAAGCTGCAGGCTTCCCTGGAGTGACAATCAGTCATGAGGGTGACAAAAAAAGATCACACGGTGCCCTGGCTAAGCCGCCTCCGGCTAAACCCTGGCAAACAGATGGGCTTGGTTGCAGAAGGTCAAGCAGAGCAAGCCAGGCCATCTTTGTGACCTGCCTCAACCAGCGAAGAGAAAACTGGTGGCTGGAATAAAGCCTTTCAAATCAAGGGTGGGAGGGCAGCAGTGGTCCCCAGCCATGCCAGGGCCTTCACCTGTATAAAATGTGTGGTGCCAAATTCATGTCATGCATGGCACCACAGAGGGAGCACAGCACTGAGCTCTGGGAGGTGGGAGCCCAGGAGAGGCACAGAGTGGGATGTGCACTGCACATCATGTGCCAGGGGGGAACTCAGCACCAGAAGAGGCACACAATAATCTTGAAAACCTGCCCGTAGGCAGCAGGGGAGAAGGGACAAACTTGGAGAACTGAGTAGGATCTACAGGTGTAGATCAAGAGGCTAAGCATGCTGTGGTGCAGGGGGATGCACCAGATGCAGACCTAACGAGCCCTCCCAGCCCTGGAGAAATGTCACAGGCCTGTTCTTCCTGCCACTCTAAAGCTGCTGTAAAATGACAAGAGTTTTCATGACGGTTTGTTCACTGGCCAGGGTAAATCATCACTGAGTAAGACTGGGCTAGCTGTGGGACCCTGCTCTGCTGGACTTCTGGAGGCCATCTGGTCCAAGCCCCTTGCTGAAGTAGGGACACCTAGAGCAGGTTGCCCAGGACCATGTCAAAGCAGCTTTTGAACATCTCCAAAGACTAAGACTCCACAACCTCTCTGGGCAACCTGTGCCCATGCTTAGCCAACTTTATGTTGAAGTAATGTTTCCTGACATTCAGAGGGCACTTCCCGTGCTCCACTTTGTGCCCATTGCCTCCTGTCCCGGCACTGGGCAACATTGAAAGGAGTCTGGCTCCATCTTTGCATCCTCTCTTCAGGTATTTATGTATGTTGATGAGATCCCTCTGAGCCTTTTTGTCTCTGGGCTGAGCAGCCCCAGCTCTTTCTCGCTTACATTATTGGAGGGGTGCTCCAGTCCCTCAGTCATCTTCATGGCCCTATGTTGGACTCTCCCCAGTGTGTCCATGTCTCTCTTGTCCATGTCTCTCTTGAGCCCAGAAACTGAACCCAGCACTCCAGGTGTGGCCTCACCAGTGCTGAGCAGAGGGGAAAGGACCACTTCTCTCAGCCTGCTGGCAACAGTTTGCCTAATGCAGCTCATGAAAATGTTAGCCTCCCTTGCCACGAGGGCACGTTGCTGACTCACGTTCAGCTTGGTGACCAGCAGGACTCCCAGGTCCTTTTCTGCAGAGCTGCTTTCCAGAAGGCAGGTCACCAGCCTGTTCTGGTGCCTAGGGTTTTTCCTTCCCAGGTACAGGACTTTGCACATCCCCTTGTTGAACTTTGTGAGGTTCCTCTCAGCCCATTTCTCAGGCTCATCAAGGTCCCTCAAAATATTTCTACAGACTTAGCTCAACTCTAAGTATCCCTACAAAACTGAAGCATGCTGAGGCATTTTTGAGGTAGCAAACAAGTCCAGCTTTCATTCATAATTTATCTGATAATGTGATCTGTGCATTGCATGCAGTTTTAAGTGTCCTAGCCAGGATTTGCAAATGGAAAGAGATGGGACAATTGAAAAGCTGACTGCATGGAAGGTTTGAAATACATAACTTACAACATAAATTACTTCAGCAAAACTGATGGTTCAAGGCCCTATGCTATCATATGGGAAACAGATTAATTTAACAGATTGTTGTCTCCAATTTTCTGGACCCTCTTCTCATCTGGCAGAGAAGACAGGCTCAGGTCAGAGGAGGTGATGAGAGGTTGAGCATTTCATACAGCTTTTAGCAAGCCTCTTACACCTGGGGGCTCAAAACTCTTTCTGAGTAGGACTTTTAAGAAAAGGAAGTCTTAAACTGAGAGAAAATGCTACAGAATCTCATCCAAGGGCAGATCAGCTGCTGCCTTGAACACAAGCATCTTCTTCTTTAAAGCAAAACCATATTTAGTGACTTAGAGCCTGAGAGTACATCTAATTTTGCTGTCAAACGGTGGGACTTAGTAAGTCAATCACAAGAAAAAGCTACTGCTGACATACAGTGAGGTAGCACAGGCAGAGAGCAACATGGAAATAAGCTTTTAGGTCCAGACCTGTTAATATATTAACTTTACTCACAATAACCACTGTTACGAAAGATATTAGTACCGGGAGTGAGAGCAGGAAAACTGGGTCTCACTGAAAGGAAGATGTCAAACACTATAAATCTTGAGACTAGAATGATATGACTTTCCCCTTCTTGTGGCCTTTGTAGAGTGGTGCTTCACTTGGTTAAAGTCATTGTCGTATTAGGTAGGTCCACAACAAAATTAGACTATTTCCAGATTCAGGGTCATGAGAACCTTTTTTGAAGACCAAGGAGTCAGGTGTCCTGTCTTCCTATGTTAAAGAGGATGAGAAGTTGCATTTGGATACTGAAGTATTTGGTGAAGTTTGTTAGACCAATGTTTTTCCCTTTTGGTTTGTTTGACCAATGATTTTCCCTTTCTGGCCTTTCTAGTGAAGGTAGAAAAACATCTGAAAATGTTGAGGGTAACCAATGGTAGCTTTAGTCTTCCAAGAGTTTGGAGACACCGATCATACATAGGCAGGATGACCAGGGTAAAAAGTCTAACGACTGGTCCACAGAAACACATGCTTGAGCTTGTTTCAAATGAGTCCAAAAACCCGATGTGAATTTTGCACTTGGCCACGCTATGTGCCTGATACCCAACTTCAAGTCTGCCCAGCTGCCTGAGGCAGTTTGCAAGTTTCCTCCATCTCCAGTTCAAAAGCCTAGCAGCAAGCAGCACCTTGCAGGTCCAGGGCAGCTCTCAGAGGTGCCACCATGTAAACAATTCCAAGGATGCCAACTTCTTTAAACCCATCATGGTTTTGGAAGACCAGATGTAATCACTTCCTTGGGAATTTGGATAGGATAACCAGACGCATCATCCACCATTTTCAGAACAAATCCTATGAGGTTGTTAGCAACAGTAAGTGGTCACTTGTTCTCATTGGTGTTAGAAGATGAGAAACTGACTAAAAACAGCCTCTGGAGGCAGGGTGGAAGACAGGGATAGGAAGCTTTTTCTGACAGTCTCTGTCTTCTCCTTTGCATGGTGCAGACATCGGTGATGGTTGGCTTGCGCCTTTTGCACACCGCTCTGGAAAGCATCCCAAATCCTGAAGACCCTGAGTGTGAAAGCGAAGGGTGGATTCTAGAGAACAGCCTGAAGGACACTCTGAAGTCTGCGTTAGAGAGCTTGAAAAAGATTGGTAAGTTCAATCAGGTGGAAGCAGGCGCCGAAGGGGCTGAAGGAGAAGAAGCTGGGAAGACTCCAGCCATCACAACGGTCAGTTGAGCTCCTAAGTGATGTGGACTTTGATAAAAGAGGAATGAAAAAAACTGAGAACTGTGAATACCTACTTTTTAAAAGCTGTGTATCAACCATCAGAATACACATTGCTACACATGCTTTTTTTATATATATATATTATCTAAATATGGGAGCATACAGCATAGTGCACATTGGGATAATGCATTTATCCACATTACGAGTACACCACATTCATAACTTCTGGGGGAAAATGACCCCACTAGGACTTGCAATACTCACATGTTCCCTTACCAGGGATGGTTAGTTTTCAAAAAATAAAAAAAAAAAAATGCTGTTGTCACACTGATCCATTCCATTTTGTTTTGAAATTAAAATGAAATTTGAATGTTAGTATTTTTTCCTCAGGTTGGTTTATCATCATACTCTATGTACCTTAGCTTTTAAAGACAAACAGCTTGGTTTTCTGGAGAATAACATGTTAGAAGTCAAAGGAAGAACAATTTCCAGAATTGTATATAACGTAGTATTTTGACAAACCTCTCATATAATGTGATTTCTTGTTAATGTGCTAAGCAATGGTATTTTCTGCTGTATTCTTAAGATGTACAGAATAGAACAAATTGCAAACTTATGCTGATAATTTATGTACTAAGCAAACATTGTAACTTAATGAAACAGAACAAGTATGAAAACAACACCAAGGTAAGATTTATGGGTTTTGTTTCTGCTTTTTTTTTTTTTTTTTTTTTTTTTTCAGCCGGTATATCCTGAATGAGTGTATTGTAGACTTATGCTTCATCTTGTACTCAAACAAGCAGAAGCTTAGAAGATTCCTCTTCTAGTGGGTGGAATCAATGCTATAAGCATGTGCCAGCTATGGCTATTCTGGATGTTTTTTAAAACTATGTAATGTCATAGCTTTCTCCAGGGTATTCAAGCCCAACTACTTTTAATATAAGAAGGGAGAAAAAAAAAAAAAAGGGGGGGGGGGTACTTGGAACTAACACTTTAAATATTTTCCAGGGTCCTAGCAAATGGATACAATTCATAAACAAGTACTCCAAGCCTCAAACCTTGAGGCCAGGGAAAAGCAAGTTTAAATCAGTCCCCAGCGTGCAAATTTTACAACATATATTTTCCCTCATCAGTGACATGGTGCCCACCACTATATCTTTTAAGTCAAAGGAAAGGTCCATTTTGCATGTGGTACATCTCTGCAAACGTTGGTCGTAGCTGGAGGACTTTTTTTTTAATACATAACTGCAACAAAACGTGGAAAGTTGGCTGTGGTGTGCAGCCTCCAGTAAAGGAACAGGGCATCAGCTTGTGTCTTTCTGCAGCTGCCAGATAAGCTCAGTTAGGGGGAAAGAAACCAGAGAGCAAACCCCCACCTGTTCCACACACCAGCCCTGACATCTCTGTCCCTCAGCTAAGAGCCACGCTCCACACTTTTTTATTGCTCAGCTGTGCAAAACCTCTCCTTCCCTGGGGTATACCTGGGAGAGTTTTCTCAGCAGGTCCTGTCCACCTGGCCGGTGGCCAGTCTTCAAACAAAGCCATGTTTGCAGCTGCCTCATTACTGCACAGCTCGTTAATTTTCATTTGCAATCACGTGTGCACTTGCCCCAGCAGAACAGCAGAATCAAAGTTCCTCCAGGTTCTGCTCAAACTGATAAGTAACTCTGAGGATGGGCAGAGCAGTCCACAGGTCGGAGGAACGGGTTTGTACATCAAGCCGTGGTCTGCGTCTCAATGGCCAGCTGCACGCAAGGCTCGATTTTGGCAGGTATTTATGGCACCCTTCCGTTTATTTATTTTATTATTTTTTTAAAAAGCTGACCAAAACTTTTAGTTACAACAAGAAAAAAAAGGCTAAGTTGAGTCTGTCCTTGTGCACGTAAGAGCAACTAGAACGAGGGCACCAACATAAAAAGCCAACTTGCAATTCACCACAGCCTATCATCAATTGCTTTGCTGAGGGAAACTCTGCACAGCAGAACTGGGTAGAACAGAGCAGATGCTTTCTTCTTGGTAAGAAACCCGTACAGGCAGCTGCTCAGCTCAGCTGGCCCGCAAGAGACGAACAGGGTTTTCAGTGGCGTATGGCATGGCCACGTTTATCTGAGAAGAGCTTTTTGGAAGAAATACATGATGAATAAGGGCTGCATTACAAGGATTACAGTTTTCCTTGCAAGGCTTCAGTGTGCTGTGATCCACAGCGGTTAATTGACCAGGTATCAGGTTTTTCAAAGTGATGTAGATTTATTGCTGTCCTATAAATTTGGCTGAGGCCATTCCTTTAGACAGAACTCTCCATTTTCTGTGGTCTCTATTTTATTCACCTTGTTGCCAGAGACATAACAAATTGTCAAATTATTCTTTCAAGACCACCTTGGAGGAGCCAGTTCCAAAAGCAACAGTGTCATTGTATATCTTGGAGGTATATCTAAGAGACCATCCAAGACGCATTTAAGAGGAATAAAGCTGGAATTGGGGTTTCATGCACATAAGAATGAATAGTATGTATGCTAATGCTGTCTAAAATAAAGCCTCTTGGTTAATGAAGATCTTTGTAACATCTCATGATTATTGCAGGATTGTAACATGATTGCTCTGTAACATACTACTTGTAATATATCACTCGTCCAATATTAAATATATTTTCTTGTGAGATGGCAAATGCTGTTCTAGATAAAGATATCTCTGCTGCCTGCAAATGTAAGTTTAGGTATTAAAATTATATTGCAAGAAAAATCTCTTTAAAGAAGATGTTTAAATACATACAATTTAATACAGATTTCTTTAATTTGCATTACTGCTTTTTGCTTCTGAATTTATTTTTTGACCCATTTTATGCACTCCTATAGGGAAGCTTTTCACCTTGACAAATAGCTCTGAGAGAAAAACTGCCACTTGTCGTATGATCGAGGTGTGTAGACTCCTAAATCGCTTTCCTCTTTCTAGAAATGGAATTTGGCAGACCGTTTTAGAGCATGGTAGACCATTCTCTTGAAAGAATTACATCAGTCTTCATGGGTCTGGACTTCAAGAGCTCAACTGAAATCAGTGGCATCCTCAGGATCATCAGGAATCAGCTAAACTGAGTTTATAAACCCTTTTTTTTTTCCACCCCATTTAATTCAAACTTGTAACAGACATTCCAAAGAAAACATTTCCACTATTTTAAATTTACACCTAAAGCTTACATACCCAGACCTGCTGGCCTGAAGCAACCCAAGAACTTCCAGAGCAGTGCCCTGATTTTCAAACCAATAAACTTCAGAAGGATGTGAGCTTAACTCAAACAAACCAGGCCACTTCTTTTTCGGTGCCTCCACATGGATTACTGGCTTAAATCCAAGTACCCATGTCTGAGATCGAACCCCAGGCCTTGTAGTGCCAACTGCTGAGAAATATCATTTATTGTTCAAAACGTATGGCTGCACAGGAACAGCAGCTACGGTGACATTTGTTTGAATGGACACAGAACATTCATTAAATGCTTTAAAGGAGAAAATATAAACAGCTTCCTTAAAGCTATTAATGCCTAAGTAGCCTTAATACAATTGATGAGATTAGCCTCCATGCATTACATGAGCTTGGACATTTTATAATACCAGACAACTGCATGCACGCAGCTTAGCAGAGAGCATGGGAATGCTATATCAGGCTCCTGGGGATTGCGCATGAACCAGTGCTCAGGGGAGGGTTTCAAGGCTGACATAAAGAAAGGAGGATTCCCTAAAACTATTTATTTTCACCTGACGTGTTTGTTCAGTTTAAAAAAAAAATAAATAAAAAGCATTGTTCATACAAGGATCGAAGTAAAATGGGGACGGATCACAAATACTTATTCAAAAAAAAAAAAAAAAAAAAGTAAAGAGCATTATTAGAGATTAGTTAATTAAGAGATAAGGCCAGAAAAATAGAATGGTGACATGTGGTAACAGCCCCCTGCAACAGACAAAGGCTTAGGCAAATGTATTTCTGGCAACAGGAATGCAGCTATTGCAATGAAATCTGAAACACTGAACACTTTTTTTCCTTTTTTTTCTTTCTTTTTTTTTTTTTTTTAATATTAAAAAACAGCTCTGTTGTGTGGGGTAACTGACTGAAACACTCCAGTAGTAAAACGCCACCCTCTTCAAGCACCTGCTGTTGATAGGCCCATGTCACTTCACAGGTATTACTGAGTTTCGACCCAAAGCGTGTCTGTGAGGTGGGAGAGCTGCAGGAAGCACCTGCAGAACGTGAAGGTCACCGACTGATTAAGCTCCTTACAGGGCACATTTCCACACCCTGCTGAGAACAACTCACTTGTTCCCAAAGCCAATTTTCCCAGTGCAGAGCCTGGTGTGGGAATCAGGTGTCCCAGGAAAACTCAGGAGAGCAGGGATCAAAGAGCAGGTCTGCAGCCCGTGGCCTGGTTAAAACAGCTCCTCACCAGGCCGCCAAGCCTCAGCAGCTCAACGCTGTGCTCCTGGCACAGCAGGGCCGGGAGCCACAAGCCCAAAACATGGGGACAGACACGTGCAGGTGGGTGAGACACAGCCCCAGCGGGGGACAGGGCAAGGAGGAGCCCAAAGGGCTGGTTCCCAGCACAGCTCTGAGGCGCACAGCTCCCCAAGGGGCTACCTTGGTAGGAGGGTGAAGGTAAAGTTTTGTTCTTTATGAAAGACATCAAATTTTTCTGAAAACCAGGGCAGAGCGCTCAGGGGTTTACCTGCTCAGACACAAAGGCCCAGAACACAGAGGTGTCCTGTTATGATTGCTCTCGGCCTTCCCAGATGAAGTTACCTCTCCAGAGAGCACAGCTCTGCCTCAGGCAAATGCTTTTCAAGGGGGTGGGAGTTCTCCTGGTTTACACCCAGGCTTTGTCTGGCACAAATAACAAACCAAAGATAGAAAACACAGGTGCCAAACACAAACAAGGAACAGATGAGTGAACCTTTCATTAATTACATAACTTAAGAGCAGAAATAGCATTAATTCTGTAATGTTGCTATATTGTAAGTAAACTATGA